CTCATCCTTCCCTGAACAGATTTCCTAGTCTGCCTTGGTGTTTTGATGTTATCGTCATTCTCAGTTTTATCTGAAAGTGGCCTTAGTGATCTCCTTATTTTCTAAAACGACGGCGTGGGCTCTTTGTGGGGTTCCCCTCCCCCATCCCAGTCTAATCAGAGAGATGATTAGAATATGGGCTTCCTTAATTCACTCGAAAAGCAAACCCTAAGTGTATTCCATTTAACATAATGCTCACTCACATTTATCTTAAATTGGCTATCATTGAGCTCGAGTGAAAATTACTCCCGGTTTCTTTGTGGTTTTTCAAAATTGAAGACCTACTTTTTCATTTCGTGATTATTTATTTGTCCAAAAAGGCCTCAACGTTGGGGAGTCCAACGAATATGTTCTTCCTAGAAAATGACCAGACAGGGCATCTGTACCCACCCTTCAGTATCCTCAAGCAAATTCCTCCTGGGCCTGGAGCTCAGGTCTGCGCAGAGGAGCCCTGCTGCTGGCTGGGGGAGGAGAGAGACGCTCCTTAGATGGGAGGAGAGTTGGGAGGGTGGGGTGGGGGAGGAAGGGCTACAAGAGCCACTGGCTCCGGAACTGCCCCTCTGCACCTGCTGTGGTTCTTTCCTGCTACATGGTAAACTGGTCCTCTGGTCCACCTTGGGGTGAATGTACCTGCCGTAGGGTGTCCCGGCAGCCTGGTGCTTGCCACCACCCAGGGCGGTTGCGCTGCCCCAGCTTGCACCAGTCTCTTGTCTGCTTCTGGGCGCCTGGAGCCCCGGCCTTGGGAGCCTTAGCCACTCTGCACTGTGGATCCTCCTGGCTCCGCCCACTGACTTGGAGAGCCTCAAGGGCCCATCAGTTCTCTCTGCGCAGTTTGACCTTCAGTCTTGTCAGACCTGCATGCCACAGCCATGCCTCATCCAAATGTAACTAGCCCCTCCCGCTTGCGCTTACCCTCAACGTTCTGGCAAACTGTGGTCATAACCAGCTCGTTCTCTTACCGCCAGCTCAGCCGTGTGTGGAAATTGCCTCTGAAGGACATTTTCTCTTCCTTGGTTTTTTCACTTCAGAAGTAGCATATGTGGCTTTATTTATATAGTGTTATAAAACATGCTTTACAAAAGGCGTTTCCGCGGCCACGTTAGCAGTTGGATGTGGGAAGATGCCTGGTCTGGGTGTTTACTGGCTCTGCAGAGGTGGGGTTGCAGCTTGAAGCTTCTAGCAAAAAAGACTCACATTTGTCACCTACACTTGTGGCGAGAACAGGGAGCCCGCTAGGAGCACCTTCAAGCTCCGAGGACGAGGAATGCGCTCCTTAGGAGCCTCACAGGACAGCTGCGGGAGCCTCGCTTCCTTGCTGTGAGAGGGGACGGAAAACAGACTCTTGAAACCAAAGGGAACTCATTAGATTCCAGTACGATCGGTCTTAGTCACTTGGCTCTTCCTCTTTCTGTGACACGGTCATACCTACTTGTGATCCTCAGTGTAGCGGTGTCCTTGGTAACGGGACCTCTTGTCACAGCCCTGCAGCGCCTACCCAAGTTTGCAGGGTGACTGAGCCCACTTCTCCCTCAAGTGTTCATTGAGCACCTGGGTGTTTTAAGCGACTGGCCTGATTGACTTCGGTGACGTCAGCCTGCGCCCTCCTGCGAGTTGGGAGGGGGGTCGGGGGGACCAGTGACTAGCCCGGCTTTGTTTTGCAGGTCATGGCGAGAATTCCTCTAGATGTGCAGTCACCTCCACATTGGGCCGCCTTCCTTGGCTCGCCTGCCCTGGCCATCCTGCCTTAAACACCCACAGCACAGTTGACTCTTATTCTCCAGTGCAGTGTTTTCCTGTTAGCCTTTTACACTTTGATGAATTATGTGCCTCCTTAATCTGAGCGGTGCCCATGCCATCAAAAGTTCATGCGCTCCCCTGAGACAGAAGGTGCTCTGGAACCACGGCACTCTCCTGGGACTGTGGACCTGAAGATGGCTCCTGCCTGCCCATGACACGGGACCAGTGACGTGTTCAAACGCTGTCACGAGACAGTGAGACTCCAGTGCAGCAGCCGTAGGAGAGCATGTTCAAGGGCAGATCTGTCCCGACAGAACTACACCAAAGTCTATTTTCAGGATGAATTTCTTACTTCTGCCATCTTTTGGAATAAATTATTTTCCTGCTTTCTATGGAAATCTGGTGTTTGTGTTTGTTAAGCTCATTTTTATAAGCTTCTATGTCTCTAAATAAGGCCTTTAACAAAGGCCTTGCAGTTCGAACTCAGGTTGGATGGGTAACAGTGGCCATGTAGTTTGAGGTGCCTGAAGAGACTGGTAAGTACTTTTCTTAATTGTTCAGTAAGCATTTGAGGGCCTACCCTAGCCAAAGCACTGGAGGAATCAAAGATGTAGAATCTGTGGTCTGTGCAAGTGCAAGAGCTGTTATGCTATTTGAAGAGGAAGATCAGTCTACGTAGAACCAGTGTGCATAAAAAGTGGGTATGATGGTGAGCAGGTAGCAGGTCGGTACCAGCCACAGGGACGACTTGGAACCGGTGGTTCATTGTACCATCACACCCTCAGACCTAGGACTGGAGAAACTCAGTGATTTAAAAAGCCTGGCACAGGGGCAGTAATTCTCGATAGCAAGCATCTCATTAATGCACTATTTGGGGGGCTTTCTTCGTTTTAGACATTAAAATGGATCTAAGTTTTCACCAGCTCGAGGCTTTTTGACAGCCAGCCAAGAATGGATTTCCTGTTTTGCAGTTTGTACTTTTCTATGCCTCCCAAACTCGGAACTCATTGCTTTGCTAGTCTCACAACCAAAGGGAGTTTCAAGTTGAAATGACTCTTCTGCTTTCATTTTTTTCTTTCCATTCTTTACTTTCATTTTGAACATGAAGTTTTCATGAGCGTTAGGCAATACCAGTACTTTACATTTCCAGCAAAGGAGCCTGTTTAGCTAATTTCATGGAATGCATAAAACTGACTACTTGATGCCAAAGGGACCAACCATAGTGGTATATGCTAAGCCCATTGTTTCATAGGTAAGGGATCTGAGCCCAGGCAGGGAGAATCATTTGCCCAATTCAGCACAGCTCATTAGACGCAGATGAGGACAGGGCTGGGGTGGGGGGTATGGTTGGATCATAACATGAGGAACTGTATTTAAAGGGCCAGAAGGTTGAGAACCACTGATCGACAGCATTTCCCACTTGCCACCCTCCCTCACTCACTTGTGGCTAGGAACTAGCTCTGTCTCAGCCCCATCAGAACAACTCACTGACCCTTAATCAGTATTTGTAATCTAAGGAAGCAGTGCTGGTGGTTACTGTGGCCACGTAGGGTGCCGCAGTCTCTGAGGCCTGACCTCGGAGGGAAGTGTGACCAGCACTGCTGTGCACCTGCATTCTCGAGTCAGTGCATTGTCGCTGGGGGTCAGTGTGAAACCTTCCCAGCTCCCACCATGGTTTTGGATCTGAGCCTCATGCTGTCCCTAACGTAGGGCCCTTCCTTTGAGTGTTGCTTTTGCCTGTATTGACTTCAGAATCGGCGGTAGCTGCTAGGGAGCCCGCAGGCGTGGAGGGCTGCTGGGGCCTCTTCTCAGTCATGACCATGGTTTGACACATTTGCAGTTCAAGGGCGCAGTTGAAGGCAGAGGTCGCAACCCTGGCTGATCCAAATCCCTGCGTTGGCCTCGTTCTGTACTGATCCCTTTTTCTACCTTCATTTGCTCTAAGCTAGACAGTGGGAAGTAAACTGGATTACACTGCTTTTTGCACTCGGGCCTGCTTGCCCTTTGGTGGAATCTGATTCCTGTGAGTGTGTTGACGACACGGGGACGGGAGCACTGAGGGCCTGGTGCTGTGCCCGCGAGGTTTGATCGTCCCCCAGAAGGGACGTCCGGCGCAGTGAGCTTTCTAGGGAGGGAAAAGGCCCTAATAAGGCAGCAGTTCAGGCTCGAACCTTGAGGGTTCTCTCCAAACCCTACTGGGACTCCCAGTGGTGTCATAATGGCCTCAGCATAAAGCCTGTGAAGAAGAGCTCATTTTCTAGCCAAATTGGAGATCACAGCCCTTCCAGGAAGATCGGTTGCAAGTTCCTAGAGGCCAGGTACTGAGTCTGTCCCCACCCCACTACATTGCTGTTGTTGAAATGAGGGAATGATGAAATCAACTCAGATTTTGTGTGGGGGACATAATAAAATTCCCTCTCCCCTAACCCCCCCCCCCCCAGGGTCACTTAACCCTCAACCTGTTTCCTCATTTAGGAAATGCTTGAGAATATTAAATGCAATTAGGTAAATTCAGATGTGTATTTTCTCCTCACCGAATCCCTCATAACTGACCCATTCGTTACAATATGGCCCAGCATCTGCCCTGGCTGCTGGTGGAATCGGTTTCTCTGGCAGTTCCTTTGCTCTGGGGCCGGCCCGGCGCAGAGGGAAGAAGCTCCATCCGGCCCTTGGAAAGGGGTCTGGAGAGGTCCCTCCTGCACAGCCCGTCCAGGTGGACATGGCATGGCCTCTCGGGGTGATCGTTAGCCTAGGAGAAGCCCTTGCTTTGCATCTCACTCCATCCCTCGCTAGCTGTGTGACTTGGGGCAGATCCTTTCATTATTGAGCTTAAGTTTTTTATCTATAAAAATGGGGATAATACCTGCCCTTTCTGCTGTATGAGGGTGTTACCAAGTGAGATGCTGATGGTGAAGATGATTTGTAAATTATAATTACACTCGACGGGGATTTTCCAAAGAAATGACAAAGTCCCTCGGACCTAATAACAGTCCTCTTCTTTCTTTTTTAAATTTTATTTTTGTACTTTTCTATAAAGATGTGCCCCAGAGTGGGCATCTTCTACTTCTGGTTTCCCTTTTGTTTTGGGTTACAGAAAAAGTAAAGGCCTGTGCCAGGCTCCAGGCCTGAGCTCTGACAGGGAGATGGGTCTCTTAGAAACAATCAGAGATTAAGTGTCAGGACCATGTCCTCCCAGGTTCCAGCTGTTCCTGTGGGAGAATGGGAGTCTTTCTGGCATGCCTTTTGAAGATGTAGTTTGCAGGGTCATTGTTTTTATTTTCTTCTTTAAACCTATAATGGTGTCTCCACCCTTATCACTGACCTGATGATTATTATAAGTCATGCTACATCCAAATAGAGGAGTATTGTGGTGCATTTAATAATTTCCCCCTGCCCCAGAATACATGCCTAGAAAAGAGATTGAAAAGACAACAAAACTATTCACGCTGCCTCTGGATGGTAATTGCAGATGATTTTAATATTTTTTTCAGCATTTTCTCCAGTGAAAATGTAACACTTCAGTAAAAAAAAGAAACAGTAAAAGTTACTAACAAAAGATAATAGAACATGATGTTAAGAGGGAAAAAAGAGATTTTAAACTTACGTACATAGCAAAAATCCTGGCAGGAAATAGATCAAAATGTTGATAATGATTATTTCTTTTACAACTTTGTGTTTTTTCCAAATTTTCCACAAAGAGTGTTAGTATTATAATCAGGAAAAAAAAATGGTGGGTTTTGGGTTTTTTTGGAGGGAGGGGGCAGGAAGCAATATTAGTGTTAGTACTTCCTTCAAGAATATAATACATACCCCCTTTTCTGAAAAGAGTAATTCAGGGTCAGGGGAAGTGAAGTCAGATTTATTCAAACACTGAGGCTATTCTCAATCGATGAAAATTAGCACGTTCACACAGCAGTTCTGATGAACTGTGTCCATTGTAGAGGGCAGAGCGCTCAGCTTATAAAACTGGCCTCCTGTTGTATAGGTGCTCATCACGACAGCACCTTGAAATAAAAAGGGAGCATTGATTTGGCTTCTACCCACATAGACAAGTGGGAGCCCGGGGGGTTCACGTGGTGGGGTGCTGCCTGGGTTAGCAAAAGCCCGCTGTTCTTCTGCTCCGGACTGCTCCGGCATGTCTTTCATTCAGGCCGCTCCGGTTAAACCTCCTCCTGTGTAATGAGGTTCCCCAACTCCTCCCCGCTCCCAGGCAGCTCCCAGCAGGAGGATGCCAGCGGCTGAGGACACTCTGCAGGTTGTGGCCCTCAGGGCTCCCACAGCATCCTTTGCTTTTTCTGCCGTCACTACTGTGTCCTTTACAGGTGTGTTCCCCCCCAAGATGGCAGAACCCTTTGCTGGACTGGATCTCTGGCTTATTCAAACGTTTGATCCCTGCAGCCTTGCACAAAGTAGGAAAGTAGGTGCTCGATAAGTTTGTAGTGAGTCCTGTGGGAGGGCAGCCTTCCTGTGGAGCTGGCTGGTTGTAGGGGCAGCCGGAAGGAGCTGCAGTCAGCTCACAGGACTCCCGCAGCCAGAACCCTCCTGGCTTGAGCCTGAGTGACACCACCCAGGTTGGCAGGTAGCAGCCGCCCTCAGGGTGTGTGTGGAAAGGCAGACAGCCCAGCAGGAGCCCAGGTGGTCACTGAGTTGTGGGGGCCCCCTGGTACTGCCCCTCCTACCAGGATAGAACCCACAGTTGGCGTGCGGGTGTGTTAATGTGCTTTATGTCTCACGGTGACTGGAGTGTGAATGCAGGTACAGCCTCTCGCACCCGCTTACACATCTCACTCCTGGCGGGGCTGGGCTTGGTGAACACAGGGTGGCATCTCGGAACTGGTGGGCACCATCCCTGGCTGTGCTGCAGCATGAGGGGGATTTACGGCCTTGTGGATTTCTGGGGGGAAAGCCTTAGATACAAAGGACCCTCCGACTTCGCCTCCATTCTGTGGAAGTTTTACTCTTCCCCACTTCAGCCCTCTGCCCGAACGGGTTTACTTCCTGTAATGGAAACCCCGCTTCGCAGCTTTCCCCAGATTGGGTCCTTCCGAGTGTGTGTCCACTTGTAGTTCAGCAAACTGTTATCGCGGCTCCAGGTCTTGGTTCCTGCTTCTTATCAGTCTGTTCCTCCACTTTCTGTTTTATCGTCCTACTTCTGGCCAAGCTGACGAGAAGGTCTCATTGTACCTGTCCTTCGGGAGCCCTTCCTACAACAAGCACGACATTGTTCTCGCTCCCTCGGCTTCCTGCTCTGCTATCAGAGCTGCTGATCCCAACTGCACATTAAGCTCAGCACTGACCAGACACCAAACCAAACCAAAAAACAGAACCCACAGACACCATTCGTTTTTCCAAGAAGTTTTCAGTCCTAGTGAAAAAGAAAACCATTTGGATAGGAATG